GCTAGATTTTTAACAGGAAATGAGATTCAAGTAATTAACACACAAATTCAAAAAACTCTGCCTATGATCCCTGACTCTTAAGTGCAATTTGTGCAGTATGCTAATACTGGCATCCAAAATTTCTATTCCTCTTCCTCCAGCTGGATATCATGTGTTAAATTTCTGGCTATGTAGTCATCAAAGCCCGGGAGCACTGTGCATCCAGCACATCAATGCCTTTGGGGATGAGCTGACTTGTTTCACTGAAGAGTCTCCCTTAGATGACCTGCGAGTGGTGTTGAGCAATGGTAAGAGAAGAGCATTAACCTATCCTTAGTATATCACAGAGGCAGAAAGAAATATTTCCTAATATTTTCCTAGCATATTTCCTGATATTTTTTAACACTGTTTCCTGAGTAATTGCAACTGATTTACAAAGGGACAGAAGCTGTCAAGCACTCTTTGATTTCTCTTAGACTATTCATTGCTGACGAACTTTGTTTGGATGCCGTAACTTGCCTTCCATTTCTGCAGCTGTAATGAGACTAATATGACTTAAATCACCCAAAGTACTTGTTTCCCACTGGTTTATTAAATTATTCCATTTAAAGTTCTAGAGTATTATTGTTTATTTGACAGTTGGCCATTGTTTTAAAAAATATTTTTTAGAGATTCCTGCTCAGCATTCAGATGCCAGTTTTGATAATACTTCAAACATACTTTGAAACTTTTTTTTCATGGACTAGTAATACATTTTGTACCTGAGCCAAGGTATTTTCTTGTGAGATATATTTGCAAAATATTTGCTTGTGTTTAGAAAAAAAATCTTTGGCTGGTTTGAAGTATATTATATCCCCTCACAATACTTCTGAGTAGGCTGTCCTTTACGGTTCTTGAAACTAGGAGCATTCTAAAAAGTGACATTAGAAGACCATCTGAGTTCAACAGACTTCATTGTAATTATGTTCTTTGCTATGCAGATGGTTTAAGTGGGAGTTACAGATCTTTCAAATCCTCATCCAGTTAGAAAACAAACAAATTTTCTACCTTTTTGTTGATATACAATAGTCATCTTGTACTACTGGAATGCGTAGGAAGCCAGAGCCTCTTGTATTTGATTATGGAAACACAGTTAAAGGAAGATTGATACAGTCTTTGCTATCTTGATCTCTTACTTCTAGTAACATTAACACAATGGCTGTGTAGACACCTGCATACTAGACAGAGGCAAAAGTGCCCAAGCAGACTGCGTTACAGAAATGATAGATTTTCTTCAAATGTTTTAAGATGCTTCAAGGACTATACTGAGGCATACAAAGCTTTATTTCTAAAGCAAGAAACAAATTTCTAAGTGCATGGGGTTTTTTTTTTGTTATGAAAGCAGCGGAATTATGAAGCATTTCTTTGATGATAATGTATTTTACTATTATACAGTAGTAAAGGATACAGTTTTAACAAGTTGACATATAGGTAAAGGGTATATTAGAAAAAAACTGACATCCTTTTCCTTAAACATTATGCAAGTTTTAGATATATTTTAGATAATTAGACATTTCAAGTAATGAATCGTGCATTTTAAATACGAATCTGTGAGAGAATATCTTCTTCACTTATCAGCAGATGTATTAACAAGCAAAAACACATAAGACATGAATGTACCATTATTCAGCAATTTTGGCTTGAGTGCTTCAATCTCAAAAACCTCCAGATCAATCTGAATAGTGCCAGCTGGGTGTCAGAGGACTGAGGAGTAGTTGAGCTAGTAATGCAATGTCTGTCCATAAAATCGACTTAGTAAAATTCAGAAGCCACTAATACAGTTGCTCCATCATTGGACCAACTGTGCTGACAACCCATTACACACAGTAATTCATTTCAGAGGCCCTGCCCATCTGTCATTCAAGTTACAGTAGTGTCAGTGGAGATTATTTGAGTGTAGTAACTCAAGATATCTTCATTACAGTGAAAACAAGATGAATTAAATGTGGTAATTTTGGTACTCATTGGGAAATTGGGGGTTTTACTGGCAAGTACCACCGCTCATTATGTGTGTTCCTACATATCACACAAAACAGCTAAAAATAATAAGCAATTTACAAAATACGTGTTTGCCGTTAAAAGAATATAAATCTAGATGTTTGAAAGACATGGAGAAAAAATCTAGAGCCAGATATGCAAATGCAGACTCAGATTTTGTAATTCTTGAGTGCTTGCTACCATAAATTGAAAATGAGGCAAAGAATAATATGCTCTCAGCTTTGGAACGTGAGCCAGAGCATTAAAAAATTGGGCACACAGCAGCTGCCACTTTGCCAATAACAAGCACTGCACTGGGATCCAAAACTAATAGCATAAGCCTGCAGTTCGGGCTAGAGAGCAAACAGAAAGGACAGCGATTGGGAATGAACACAATCCTGGTACAAATTGAGAAGATGTACAGATGTGCACACATAAACATGCGCAATTTCGGTACGCATACGCTGCACTGGCTGGTGAAAATCAGGACACTAGCCCTCAACCTCTCTAGTTCAGCCTAGTATTTGGCACTAGGGAGTCACATTTGGCGGGGGATGACATATGTAATATGTGCTATCCAGTGAGGTGCACCCAAGTTAGATAAAGAAAAATAGCTGGATGAAGACACTCTAAAAAATAGGACATATGGGATTCAGATGCAAACTGACGAGCAGCAGGATGTCCATGTGAGCCACCAGGATCTGAAGGGTGCCTAGCAATAGCAGGATCGAGCCCCCAGTCTATAATAGATATGCATAAAGAGACGTGCATCAAGAGAAAAATCATTATTGATGCTCGGAGAATTTCTAAGCCAAGTTTACTGTTGTAAACCAGGTGATAACGAGCTGTGCTAGTGAGTGTTATTGGAAGCTGTTGTTTTCAGTTGTCATTCTCACTAACAGAATGCCACACAACAGGATGCAAAATATTGCATGTATTTCACCCACTCAGACTACACCTGCTAGCAAGACAAGCCTACACAGTTATTTTACTGTTCACACAGTGACCAAATGGAAATCAGAATTTTGTGCACTTCCTATTATTTGTGGGTTTGGTTTTATTTGTCTGTTTTGTAAAAAACGCATTCAGTCTCTGTATCATTAACAAATTTCTGAAGTAAAAAGTAACCCACAAAAACTATGCACCTCCAGAGAAAATGGCTTCCTTAGATTCTGAGGACATTTTTATTACAATCTGATACACCTCTAAATGTTTCCACAATTTGCAATTAACACAAAATATTTTCCAATTTTTAGCTAGCAACAGCTAAATCTACCTCAGCTTAATCCAGGAGTAAAATGAAAACACATAAATTGTCATTCCTCTTGTCTTCAGCATGCAATCCAGCTTGACAAAAGTGTATTTTTGACAAAGCCTATTTTTTGCTGGAAGATCATGACAAACCTTCCCTTTTCTTTCAGAAGAGATAAAAATAACTGTCATCATCACAAACACTAATCATAAAATACATAGGAATTCTACATTCACATAGTCTGTTTGAAAAAATAGGAGGAGTTGGATAGTAAAACCTAGAGTTGAGAAAACTACACTATGAAAACCAATACATTAGCCTACATGTAGCTATGCATTATTGTTACTCTTTAGTATTGAAAGTTTGCATATTTATAGCAAATTTCGTATCTCTGATAACAGACAGTGGAAGCAGAGATTCATGTTTTGCCAATTTTTTTTTTCTTTCAATCCTAAAAGAACTCCAGTTTACTATCTTAATTTTCTTTAAATTTATCTTCAAAACACCTCCCTGTTCTAGTCTCACAGATTTTAGGTGAGACTACATTCTGGTGTTATATTTTTTAGAAATAGCATATTTCACCTTGATTTGCAGGAAATGGCCACATAAAATTAAGTGTTCTTTCACTGGGTAATACAATATCCTTAACTGCATCCAATACGCCACAACAGATGTGCGATTAGTAAATTGTCCCACTTGGCCAAACTTAAAAGAAATTCAAAATGTGAGCTCCTGTGAGCAACACAACCTGGAGCACAGTTTCAGGAGGGCACATCTTGAGATAGTTCATCCATTCAGTTTGCTAACAGTGTTCCTTAGTGGTAATCAGCTTTTCCTTGCATAAATACTTTCTATCACTTGAACTGTCAGATTTGTTAAAAGGTCCTAATTGCTGCAAAGACTTACTGCTGAGCATAAAGTAGTACAGAATATTCTCATCCACTTCCAGTATCTATAGTAAGTAGATTCTGACACTTTTTCAATAGCCTTGGACAAATCAGGTGCTTGAAGATTCACAAAAGTATGTAATGTCCATAGACTGAAATGGGGTTAGGCAGAGAAATGTCTACCTGTATATATAGGTGACCCTATTCTTTCTTTAAAAAAAAAAAAAAGTAAAAAACACTATGTCTTCTTTTTCCTCTGTTCTCTGTAAAATCAGGACTAAATATATCTTCAGTTTCGCAGTCTGTGTCCAGCTGTCTGTTGATGTTGTAAGAGTGTGGAGGTTCCATACCTGATGCTAGAATAGCATTTAAAGGTGGGGACTTACACAGGTCAGTTTTGAGTACCTTTTGCTGCTTCTACGGAGACAAATGCCAGGCTCACAGCTCCTGTGATTTGTTGTTTCTGAACGGTTAACAAATGGTTTGCAGTCCCCACGGCAAGCAATGACAGCTGAGAGTTTGCTTTGCTCTAATTTATGTTAATATTGTGAGGTATTTTGCAGAAATACTGCAAAAAGAGAGCTCTGAAGCTTAATCAGAAAAGACATACTGAAAAACAATAGGCTTGCACAAAAAAATGCAAGTCCGAAGGACATAAACGTTAATATTACATTTATCCAAATGGAACAGGCAAAACAGACCTCAAATAAGCACTGAACAAATTTGTTTCTAAAATGTCTTTTTAGCCCGAGGAGTCCAGTAAAATGCTGTGACCTGCTGATGGTATTTTAAAACATAGCTTACTTCTCACTTGAACATTGAAGCTTGTTTAAAAGTAAACAAAGTTCAGTGATTTATGAACTTACCCAGTATAACACATCAGTCCATCCTTCCATGGTTATGCACTGGAACACAGTCAACATTGCAAATGCAAAATTATCAAAGTTGGTTATGCCTCCATTTGGTCCAACCCATCCACCCTTACATTCAGTGCCATTCATGACACACTGACGTCCATTCCCTGAGAATGCACAAGGTGCTGGATCTTCTTCAACTAGTATATCTGAAAATTGACCAAAAAAAAAACATTCAGAATTTTCAGTTCTCAAAATCTTTTCAGCTAACTTTTTGCATGAAGAAATATCAGCCCTGTTAGAAGGTAAATCCAGATATCAGAGAAACGCTGAGAAAGGCAACCCATGGGATCTTCGGAGCTTTTAGTCTCTCTCACATCTGAGCTTTACAACCTTAAAATAAGTTAATCAAAAACAAATGTATAAAAGAGCTCAAGTAATTAAGAAATTGAAAGAACCATGTGACAATGCAACATAGCTTTTTAGAATCTCCTCATGCCAATTTTTTTTCCCCCCTCTCTTCACTGTGTCTGTTCACTTCATTCCACTTCATCCAAATATAAGGACCACCAAGGAAAACAGGTCTTGACTATTTCCTACATAAAGTCTACTTTCTTATTCAGCTGACAGAAATGGATCCTCGGCCATCAGGTAAGATCTCTCCCTCATGATGTTTTACTCCTTTAGAATTCTCCCACAACAAACACTTTCATCATTTCACCTGGATGGAGGAACACTTCTTGCTTTCTTTACTTATTTCAGAACTCCCCTTCTTACCGCACTGCCACAGTCTTGAAGGAGAGACGGCCCAATGGTGAATTCATGAAACCCCCTAGAATAGGACTAGCTGGCTTTTCAGTAATCAGAGATTAGGAAAAACAAAACAAAACAAAACTTCAAACAAACAAACAAATAAAACATCCTACTGAGTTGGCCGCTGTGGGCAGTCATCCTTACTATTTTCAAAATTATGAACTACAGTGAAAACTCAGGTTACAGCAGTCTTAGTGCTTTGGCACCTGTTCTATTTTTGTTCTACTGTTCCATATTGCTCTGTTTCAAACCAAAATCTCACAGACATGAAAGAAAACAGAACTAACTGTTTATTTTAGTCAACAGTTTAATGACTTACCTGAATCAATTAGAAAACAAGATTTGTGCATTTTTCCAATAAAAAGTTCCAATCCTATAATAGCATAGATTATGATTACAAACAATACCAAAAGGGCAATATGGAGGAGGGGGACCATGGCTTTTATAATGGAGTTCAGGACAACTTGTAAACCTAGGGAAAAAAAAGAGGATACAAGATATGAACCAGACTTCTATGCTTTGAATTAACAAATTTTCCATACTTGCATATTATTAGAAAATAATGATAATGGGCATGCATAATAAACCAGTTTTTAAAAAAATTTCTATTGCTCTGAACCATAAAATGTTCCTGTAACATAAAATACTTCCTGAGAACATAAAACCTCATGTCAAAGTCTAATTATTTCCTCTGTTAATAAAGGTTTGTTATGTCATAGAAGTCAATATTTTAAATATGTCAGGAGAATTTCTGTTTTTTCAGAAAGAAAGGGCATGTAGCCAGTGTGTGGCTGTAGGTTATTTTACATGACCTTTAAAAAGCTCTGTGCTACAACCACAACTTGGTCACAAATCCTGAGAAAATGTACACTCAGCCAATTGCAGAACTGTATTTTTGGTCTAGAGAGATACAGTTACCTGGGAAAGCACATTTTTACTCTGAACTTTTTCATCACTCATTCCTCACATGACTTTCAGAACTATTCCATTTTTCTTTTCTCCTTAATTAAATATTTGGCAAAATTTTGGTTTTACCAAAAGAAGAAAATCCCAGACTAATGAAGCACATCAATGAGAACAAAATATGCCTTGTTGTTTATTTTAATAGACTTGCTTTCTGACATTTCTTAAGGCTGCTTCCTTTTTTATTGGAATTCTTTTGCTAAACATATACCATCACAATCATTTCCACGAAACAGGCTATGATATAATAAACACAGCAATAGGATTCTTATTTTGAATGTCTTGGAATGAGCAGAATAGTAACCCATGAACTTATTCAATTCAGCCAAATAGCTTCAGTAACTCATAATGTATTAAAATGAAACCGGAAAGATGATCAGAAAATGCAACTGCTTTCTTTAAATAACATTATTCTACTTTTTAAGTTTCCCAATTTATCTGTTAGATCGACTGAGATAAACAGAAGCCATTCATGTGCATTGCAGGGGGCAGGAAATATGAAATGTGTAATGTGCTTTGGCATACACTCACCAGCATATAGACTTATTTTAGGACCACCTACACTTTCAGATCTGCAGTGGTTTGTTACAAAAAAAATCCGAATTTTATTTTCTGTGTATTTGCATTTTAACACGCAATTTACTTTTATATAAAGCTTCTAAAAACAAAGTGTATTCCCCTGTCTGCTTATCGAACTGTGTAAGATCGTACACTGAATGAATTCACAATCATTTCTTCAGTTTGAAGTAGGGTATCATTCATCTTGAAACTCAATTTATATACATACCCAGATAAAACAAAAAACCCACACTAACAACTTTATATTATCTCATTTTTGTTAGTGTCTGAAACAAGAAAAATAATCAGATCAGTTAATAGTATTCATTCCAATGACATTAAACAGAAAAGAGCTTACTGGGCACTCCTGATACAAGCCGGAGAGGTCGCAATACACGAAAGGCTCTTAGGGCTTTGACATCAAAGCCACCAGGTTTGCCACCCGAGTGGCTGCCACCTTCTGTTTCTTTGGTTAATTGTTCCAATATTACACTAAATAATCTAAAAAATGAGATGAAGGGCAAGGTCATCACCATCCATTTACTATGCAACCAAAAGCATTAGGAAATTACTTGAACTGCATATAACTCTGAAAAGCTGTACGGCTGTCAAAATGAGAGGTATATACACATATTAAATCATGACAGGAAGACTTACGAAGTTTCTGATCCCTCCACAGAGCAATGATCACAGAGCATCCAATAAATCAGCATTCTGCTACTACACACAACCTGCTATTTTTAAAGAAATGAAGCTACTTTGCCACTTCTTTTTTCAAACATTTTAGCTCTTAAGGTTTGAAGAATTAAACTTCTCTTTAGAATATGAAACAGATAATCACAAGAAACCATCTGTTTTAGTTTTGGTGGAATATATGAACTCCAAGTGACACTGTAGTTCAATATTCTAAGTACAGTCAGCAAAACTTGAGTATATGAAAAATAGAGATGAACGCTTAATAACACCAAAAATATTTGTTTCTTACACATATCTTTGAGGGTAAAAAAATATTCTCAGATGACTCATTAAATTGTATTTCTCCACAGCAGAAATGAGCTAATCATTCATTAGGACAGTTTGGAAGACAAGAGTTTTTATGTTTCTTTCCCACTTCCAGCAAAAATTTGAATTCCTTATGCAAGTGGTTGAAGTGCAAAGTAATCTTAGGTTTGTATCAGCTTGAACTTGCATTTCAGATCCAGGCGGTTTGGACTGTGGCTAGACCACATGAACCATATTACCCTTTGCACAGAGCCTGCAGTTCAGTAGCTGCAAAACTGAACTTCTCCTGAAAGGATTATCTAGTCAATACAGTTTTGTAACCCTGAAAAATATTTCACACTTGTAAAGGACTCCTGAAATGGGCAGGTTTTTGGTTTTGTCAAGAAAAGTTTTCACAACTCTGGCATGCTGGATAGTTGCTAAAAATCACATAATATTTAATAGGTTGCCCAAACTAGAATATTGAAGATTCTTCCCCAGGTAAGCAACTGACCTGTATCGGTCAATACCCATCCCTGTTCCACTTCAGTCTCCTCCGGAGGGAAACCCAGCCAGGAAGATTACAGATCTTAGAATGAACACCAGCAACCTACATACTGCTATAACCACAGAAATCCAGACACTTAATATTTCAGGTCCTGATTCAGCCCTATAATTTAATAGAAGCATAATTCTCAGAAAATGAGCCACTTCAATGATTTCAGAGTGACTATTCACACTTTAAAGTAAGACTTGATTAAACAGACTTCTGAATCAAGTTCCAAATTAGGAGAAGCTCCTTTCAGCCTGTCAATTCACATATCATTCAGAAAATTCAAGGGCTGCAGCATAGGAAGGCGCTATGAAAGCTTTCTATGGCAGGACCTAATTCTTTCACAGAAATCAATGGAAATTATGTGGCACAGTATGCAGGCAAGTAGTAGACTGCTCTGAAAGTAATTCATACTCTGACTCGTTTCAGAGAGAAGTGACAAGACAGGAGGAAGCATCACACTCACAACTATGTCTACAACTCTGTCATTTTATGCTGGTTTATAAAGCCATAAAGGTATAAAATCATTGACCTTCTTTATTAAAACTGACATATATTTTCTTGTACATTTTGCAAAAGTTTAAATGGCAAATTTGATGTTGTGGAAAAGGATCTCTGTGCATACTCCCTTTTCGCTAGTAGAGGTTATGTTTGCTATAATTAAGATTTGTGCTACAGCTTCTGCTGAGAAAGCACATGAAACAAATTTCATCCAATACATTCAATATAGGACATCATGGTAGCTCTTTCAAAACTATTAAAACACCTCATGAAATCTCACAATGAAACTACTCAAACAGAATCAGATCCAGAAATTATTCCACACCCACCTTAGGTTATATATGAAAATCAATTAATTAATGGGCTTTTAAGTATTAATTAAATAAATGGACTCAAGCCTGCTTACTTTCTTATGTGGGTTGTGGTGTTCTTAAAAGAAGAAACAAATAGATTGCTCACAGAGTGCAAGAACAAAAATACTGCTCACAGCTTTGTCAGTGTCTGATATGTTATGAAAGGTCCACCTCGTCTTGATGACAATCAACAAAATAGCTTGCATTGCAAAACTTTTGGTTTTGAGTTAGGACTGAAATCCTAGTGTGATACTTCAGATATTTGATAAGATGTACTCCTTTTTAGTTCGTATTTTTCACAGATTCAATTGACCTAACTAGATTTAGCCTACAATAACAAGTGGTTTATGTGTTAATGGAAAATTTTTTAGTTATCATGTATTTAGGACACAGCCAAAGATAGAGGTCATGTTAATTAGACTGCTCCAGGGTTACTCTAACTCCATGGTCACTTGACAAAAGAGAAGAGGTCTATTCAAGTGACTGCCTGGCAGGAGAAGAGAGCTCTTATGTGTGATAGTCTCCACACCTGCCCACCAAGCTTCCCCTTCAGGCACAGAGGCCAATCTGTTGAGAATGACCTGACGAAGGATCTATTTATATACAAATTCTAGTCCTGGACCAAAGCTGCCCGAATGCCAAGCAACTGGCCCAAATACAATATTCTCAGGAAGATTTATTACCTGAGAATAGTTATAAATCAGGCATTCATAGATTCATAGCACTTGCCCACATTTAATAATGCTTTACCACAAATTCCTTTGCATCTTTTTCTTTTCTGCTAATGTAAAGACACAAATTAAGAGAGCAGCACCTGCTCTAATTTCTTGGTCTTTTCAATTGCAGGCAATTCTTGATATAGCTTGTACTTAAAAGTGACATTAGAATTGCACGCTGCATGCCAAGGTCTTCTTTGCAAGCCAGCCACAACATACAAAGTCGTATGTGGGTAATGCTCTCCATGTTATATATAATAAATATTTTCAGTAAACTGGATTTAAAGCACTGGAAATTCCTTTTATTAATGTAATTTCCGTAATATTTAGGAAAATGGGGAATCTATGTCTCAAGGTTAATTCCCTAGATAGCTGAAGGTAGAATCTTCTAATGAACTAGCACAACCATTGACAAGAAGTTGCTGGCACAAAATGTTATTTATCATAAGCAAGTGAGTAATGTAAATGTGGGATGTTCCACTCTCCACTCTTCTGTAACCTGCATAAGGCCTGAGCAGTCCTTAGAGATAAGGACTTAGGGATAAGTCCTTAGAGATAAGGAGCGTAACAAACTCATCAGGGTTTCTTGGTACAGCACACACAGCACTAAAAAAGAAAACAAAACAGTAACAAAAAAAGCCCCACCATTTTTAGCACATATTCTCACTCAGGCAAGCCCAAGTCATATATATAGGGGGGCTGATGTGCAGCAGCTCACACGAAAGCTCAGTTTCCAAGAAGGTCAAGGAATCACTCAGCTAAGCATCTCCTCTGACCACACTTCACCTCGAAACACATGGGTTCTCCCAGAAGTCTTTGTGGAATAGATGAACTCCACATAACTGCAGTACAGCGATAAACTGAACAACAACTTATAGACCTGAAGAGGTCAACATTTATCATATGTACAAGATAAGTTCACTTTGGAAGAATCGGATGGAAAAGATTCTGCAAGACAACCGCTAAGGAAAATTTTTGGCAGAACTCAGAATTCCCTGCGAACTTTTACTGCAAAGCTGGTTAGACATGGCTGCAGACTGCAGAGTGAGGCAAAATTTTAAGACTTTGTTTGGAAATTTTCATTCATATTAGTTTGTTCTTTTACTCCAAAGGAGCAGAAATCAAGCACAGGCCATTACTCTCAACCAAACAGACCTGTATCCATCTCACTGTAAAGAAGACTTAAAAACTTTGTATAATGAAGAACAAATTACTTACCCTACTATTACTATTACAAAATCCAATAAGTTCCATCCATTTCTAACATATGCATTGGGGTGTAATAATAATCCATATGCTATAATCTTCAAAAATGTTTCAACTGTAAAAATTATCAGGAAGGCATATTCTACTTTTTCCTGTAAAAGCCAAAAAAAAAGTACAATTAAAACCAACATAATTTAACAGTTCTTTTACTAGTTAGAATTTGCGGTAAGCGATTAAGTTGTATTGATCAGCACTAAGGACATAGAATATTTCATGACAGTTTACAGGTTTTAATTACACAGCTCTTAATGACAGCTGTACTGACAAGGTTATAATTACATAATTGCATGACATTCTTCCTGTTTTCACATTCTGCGAAAGGAAAAGGCTCTGTTTCTGTAAACATGGAAGTATACTGTACCTCTGCTTAAGCTCATCCAGGTCAACAGGATTCTTTTTACCCATTAAACCAGAAAATTCTGTAGAACAGGGCCCCTGAAACATCTATGCAGTGGTATACTTACTTATACTATTCATTATATCATCTTTTATTTAATTAGGACCCACAGAGTTCTACCTAACAAGGGAGTTGGAAGCGGTATCACCTGCTACCAGGGAAATTCAGACAAGACACAAGATACTTAACGTGGTCTTCATTTATTTTCATATTGTCTTGCAACTTTTTCATCTTGATGTGGAAGTTTACATTGACTTAATTCTTCCTTCCACATCACCAAAATCTATTAAAATCACCCTAAAGATGACTTTTTAAAAATTACTAGTTTCTTCATTGTACCAAAATTCTTATTTTAAGCAGAAATTGAATCTCTTTTCCTAAGTATTTGGATAGTATTTCTGTGGCTGCTTCTTTCTATAGTAATAGCACATTTAATTTAGATAAATTGCGGAAGTCAAAACAGAGCCATTAACACATTTATTCTTTTTACCTTCCTAATTTCACCAATACGAACAATATCTTGTCGAGTTGCTATGTAAATATTAGAGCCAAAAATGAAAAACACAAAGAATGATTCATTTTTGAAAAAATTTTCAGGAAACACAATGTTGCTTACTTACCACACTCAACGTTAATAATATGGATTGTAACTGCTCAGTAAGGATTACAATCTTCTACTATCACATACTCAAACACAGCACAGACATTACACACGGAACCATGTATTTGTTACTTTCACACAGCTTGGCACTTTCACATACAACCAAACAAAACCCAAACCTTAACTGTTTGCACTTTAAACAAAGATCTACATATTCTCATGTGCAGTGTTTAATTTAGGAATCTAGATTTTGTTTTCCGCGTGTAAAGGTTTAGGGTTGGTTATTTAGGGAGGTGATATGTCCAGTCATAAATCCGACACTGGTAACCTAATAAATGTAGAGGCTTATCAATAAACTGCATACTCGTCCTCCATATCTTCATCTCCAACAAGAAGCACCCTGGGATCAATATGAGAGGTAACAGCTCCCCCTAGTACAAAGCAAGGATTCCTGGATCTCAGCTCAGTCCCAAACTCCTGCTTTTTTCCTCTGCTTTGTGTATACTTCATAAACACCATAGAGCTTCACCCAACACAGCTTCTCCTCAGCTGTGTTTTATTTTTCCATGAGATCTTCCAGCCCAGTGAAGCTGACGGACATCTTCGTTGTCCTTGTGCTTTCTAATACTTCTTTCAAAATTGTCCCTTCCACTTACTTGCCAATTTATCATCAATAGGCCTAAAGAATTACTGGATAACAACAGTGAAGCAGCCTCACAAAAGAAATGTGGTTTGTGCAATAAAACCCATCAGATTTCATACAATAATATGAATTAGCAATCAACATTCCTGTGAAACTTCCTGAAAAAATGCTTAAATTCAAGCAAATCCTACCATGTACACATCCCACAATAACAGCTATTTCTATCTCCCTGCATATAACTAAGTCTGCAGCCTGGATATAGGAAGATAAATAATGTAAGACAACATAAGGAAGATAAATATTGTGGTTGGCATTTGCTATGGGCAAAATATATTTCAAAATCACAGTAGTAAAAGAAAAGACGAGGCAAAAGGGATATGAAATTTCATATATACAAAATTTCAACAGCTTCTTTACATAAAGGGAACATAGGACACGGGACTGGATGAGACCTTTTGAGCCAAGATAGCCCCTTGGGTTATCAAGTCCAGTGTCCTGTTATTACAGGCAAATAAATAACTTAATTCCACCCATCAACCTACCAGATTCCATCCTACAAAGCATCTTTGCCTTCCACTGCTCCGCTTTGTGCTCTTCTGCCATTTGTGCCAGGCATCAGTCCTAGTTTCAGTGTAACTTGCTTAATGGTAACATACCCTTGTAGTTCATTTAGATATGACAGTTCAAACCTAACAACTCTACTCTTCATACCCATCTTTTAAAATAATGTTGGTCTTGTTCCTGCTTATGTCATTTCTCTTCTGTGGAAACAGGTCTGTTTCTTATTTCCTAAATAGTATTGCAAATATTCCATTAAAAGAATATGGAATGTAAGAGAAGCTCATTTTTTAAACCCAGTTGTGGGCTTAAGGTCCTTGTGTGTACCTTACCAGATGGACCATAAGAAACCTTGACAAACGGACCAACAGAAGCCACATTTATCTCAGCAAGGAAAACTAAACACTTCTGCACCTCATGTTAAATAATCCCACACCAATACGGGCTGAGAATGGACCTGGAAGTCACAGTGGGCACCAGGTTAAATATGCGCTTATTGTAAAACAGACAAATTGCATATTGGGCTAGATCAGTAACAGCATGGCGAGGAGAGAGAGAGAGAATTATCCAACTCTACTCAGTGATGTGAGGCTGCAACACTGTTGGAGTTTTGGATCTCTTAGTTCAAAAACTGTTGAGAAAGCACAGACTTCAGGGAAACAAATATCTCCTCTCCAGCAAGGAGGATCTGCTCTCCAAAGGGGGGGCTGAAAAGAAGGTCTAACAGGAGACTACCACTACATGAAGAGGGGTTAAAAAGACTAAAAGCCAAATACTAAGTAGCAGCACATGGTAAAGTAAGGGGAAATTGTCACAAGCGACAGTTTTGGAGGTTGACAGGATGCTGAAAAAAAGCCCTTATCAGAATGGCAGTGCAGAGCAGGGACACGCAGCTTCAGAGCAGGAGGTTTCAAAGATGCAGCCAGGCAAAGGCACAGCTCACCTGAGCTAGTCCTGGCAACAGGGCTGCTAGGAGCTCTCGCACGCTCCGTTTATTTGTTTTAAAATCACAACTCGTGCCATTCACCGAGTCCAGGTGAAGGATTTGGCCCACAAGTTAACAATATTCAAAGTACAGGCAGCCAACAGATGTTCTAACACAAACTGCGAAGTTAACAACCTGCTTCCCCTCTGGAAGGTACTGGCAGTCCCTTCTCACATTTCTGTAATTTCTGGCCAGTCACTAGGGACATCAATTTTTGCTTCTGTCACCAAGATACATCAGTAGGCCACACATCACTTTGCCTGTGTCAAGCTGACGCAAACACTGCTCTAGAGTAAATAAAGTTTAATCTATCATACAATTTTCAGTATTATTGGAAGAGCTGCAGAGGTAGGGTTGCTATGCAGAAACAGAACTAAAGCAGTAAGAGATAAAAGTACAGACTGAAGCCTGCAGTTCTAACAGCTTATGATGCGTACATTTCCCTACTTTGTTTTCTCTGTACAGAAGAAAACTATTCCTGCACATTTTATTTTGTTTCAATTAGTTGAGATCTTTAGGTCAATACTTTATTTCATTAAAAATCAAAGTAGGATCAATAAGAATTAAGACAATCAAACCGAAAAAAAAAAAGAAGAAATACATAAAACTGTGACTGCCTGAAAAAAAAATCTATATTAAAAGAAACTGAGAAGACAATTTTCGTTCTAAGAGATCGCCCAGATTAAATTAGAAATCGTACATAATTTCTAATATCTATGACTGCATTCATTTCTATACTGCATGAGAAAAGAGGAAAAAACTGACAGCTATAAGTCTGAAGAAGAAATTAAGCACAAAAATAAGACTGTGTTCTTAAGGATCTAATTCTATGGCTGTATAGATTAATATTAGTTTGTTCACTGATTTGATACCATGCAGAGCTAGGTCATCTCTCTTTACAAGCAGCTGATTCCTGTAAGGCTGTCTAACACTTTGTTAATGTTGCTCAAAATATTCGAGTCTCAGCAATCTTCTGAATATATTACACAACAGGACTGACAAGATGCATTGCCTTTCTGATAGAGACGAAATAGCTCCACTTTGATATCGATCATGGAGCACAAAGCAAAGGCTACCCTATCCACTGAGTTTCAGCGAGGTCATTAGAACATTTTTTCAGCAAAAAAAAAGTGCATTTGCTTTCTTATTTTAAGTAAATCAGCTTAGCAGAAACCCTGTTGCTCAGGAAGAAATCTCTTTTTTTTCCCCCACCCTAGCCAGATGGTGTACATTAGTCATCATTTATTATCTTCATATTTTCAAAATCTCTGAAAGAAATATGCAAAGCTACTGTTACATGCTGTAATATGATGCACCAAAACTCTGCATTTAACTTAAGATGTCTCACAAGAGAATTGTTTCAAAATAAAAAGTCGTTAATTTGCAAAACCTTAATCTCTTATGCTATGTAATTAAGTCTTCTCATATTAATTTCTGCTCCCTGGGCATCAGAGACAGGAATTATTTCTTAACTGGTGAAACACATTTTTGCATCTAGAGTAGCATACATGTTATCAGAGTAAAAATGGCTCAGCAGATAAAGTGATACAATTTAAGCAAAGTAATAAAACTGATCAACTTTCTGCAGTTTAGACATCAACAAAACCAGATACTTTGACATTCTTGATTTGGGGACTAATAATCATATGCTGTTACATAAGATGTATGACTGATGCCTTGACAACACACAAAGCCATTTATCCTTTTGACAGTCACTCCAAGTTCTGCCACTGGACAAACACAGCATTTATAGGACAGAAAATTCACTGTGATCTGAATTTCAAAATAGAAAAATCTATTTTTTCACTTCATATACCTGTATTCCCCTGAAAATCATTGGTGAGCTGCACCACAGTAATACTAAAAAAAAGGAAAGCAAACCTATTTATTCCCATATGTGGAAAATGT